TAATATTTTTTTTATGATAAATTAATGTATAAAATAAAAATATAATAATCACTTAATGTTATTAAAGATAAAAAATAAAAGTATAATAATCATTTAATGGTTTGAGGAGATGTGATTCTTTCTTGGATCATATTCTGGTTCAAAATTAATTTCTAGATTTGTTCTATCCTATTCTAGAAGGAAACTCTAAAAAATAGGACACCATGATGAAGTGCTCTTGGGTAGAGGGAGCTGAACTATGGTAGTTAAAAAATATTGAAGTGTATGGAGTTATGGTTGGTTTCTCCTCCCATGGGGTTAGAGGGGGAGATTGTTGATAGAAAGTCTAACCCTATGTGAACACATGAACTTTCCATGTAATAGCTTTTTTCACTAGCCTATAAGCCAATTGTGGGCTGGCATTGCATTGCTGAAATCATGCAAAATTACATCATGAACTCATTTAATAAGGCAAAGAAAAAGGTGCACGGGTGGTTGGATTTTTCACTATAAATACCCATGCATGCAAACGCAACAAGCAAGCAAGAGTGTGAGAAAGCAAGAGAAATTGAGAAGAGCTAAGTGAGTGAGTGTTCTTATGAGAGAGAAAAAAAAAGAGAAATTGTGAGATAATCTTTGTGAAGATTAAGAGAGAGTATTAAGGAGACTTTGGGAGTTTCTATATATTAAAACTGGGATGTTGAGAGCTTCTTAATTATTGTACTCTTTAGTGGATTCATTTCTCTCTTTTTTATGGACATAGATTCGTTGAGAGGTATACAAGTCGAACCACGTTAAATTATTATCTCAATATCTTTATTGCTTTTGTTTGCGTGGAATTGAGGTGTCCAAAAATTTCCAACAAAATGCTAGCTTGCTTGGAGACGAAAGAGGAGAAAGAGAGGTAGGAGATTGAAGATGAAAGCATGTAGGTAAGTTTATACTTTCTTTTAAGTGTTAACTAATTAAAATGATTAGGTGGGCTTGGGTGTGTGAAATTAAATTTAAGAATTTGAGGGGGAGGGTAAAAAATGCCACATTATCAAAAGAGTTTTATTTTTTAACACATCATTCTAGAGAAAATGTGTAAATAAGGATGTCAACTTTACATCTTTTTTCTATTTAAGGATGCTAACTTTGTTAGTTTCTAAATAAGGATGTCAATTTTCAACTTTTTTATTTATTTAAAGATGTCAGTTTTCAACTTTTTTTTTTTAAGAATACTAACTTTCAATTATTTCTATTTAAGGATTAATTGGATAGTGATGCTAATGTGGCAAATGGATTTTTTTAACCAAAATGTTGAAAGTTAGCATCCTTAAATAGAAAAAATTAAAAGTTAACATTCTTAAATTGAAAAAATTAAAATTTAACATTCTTATTTAGAAACGGACAAAATTAACATCCTTAGATAGAAAAAAATATAAATTGATATACTTATTTACACATTTTCTCCATCATTCTATCTGAATGATTTTTTTAATGTTGGTGATATCGAAATAATTTTTTTATATAATTTTTATATATTATTAAATAAATATATATATTTAATATTAAATATCTTAAATAAATTAAAAAAATTAATAATTTAAATAAAACATATGCAAAAAATAATACAAAAAAATTATTCTTAAATTATTTTTTTAATAACTTAACATGCCAAACTATCACTTCTGGACAATTACAGTTGCAAATATTAAAGTTTGGAGATAATTTTAGTATCTTCTAAAGTTAAAGGGTAAATTTGACACAAATATAAAAGTTGAGGGATGAAATTGATATTTTAATCTAAAAAATAAAATCTATGCTTTCTTTTTTTTTTTTTGAATAATTTTGTAAGGGGTTAGATTCGAACCGTTGCTCGAGGAGAGAGACATGCACTTAAACGTGATTTGACGCTACTAAATCCAAAGGCTCAAGTGCATAAAATCTATGCTTTTAAACTCAACTGCTACCCAAATAATTAGGTAAAAACCCATTATTAGCCCCTCACCTTACTAGATTTGTAAGTTTTAGCTCCTCACCTATTAAAATTGAAGAAAATAACTCTCAGTTTAGACTGACTATTAATTCTGTTAGTTGAAAGTAGATTTTTATCAACTAACAATCAACTAATAGTTAATTAATAGAATTAATGAAATATTATAAAATTAGTTCTGTTAACTCTGTTAACTAACAGAAAGTTTTTAATAGCTAATAGTCAACTAACAATTAATTAATATAATTAATAGTTAGCTAACAGAACTAACAAAAAGTTACAAAGTGAGGGCTATTTTCTTCAATTTTAATAGGTGAGGGGTTAAAAGTGCTCTAGTATAAAGTGAGGGGTTAAAACCTTTAAATTTTACAAGATGAAGGGGCTAAAGGAGGGTTTTGCCCCAAATAATTATTGGAAAACGCAACTGCTACAAATGTGAATGGTTGTTAGCTAATTTCTAGGCGTTGGCAAAAAAATTTTATCCAAAAACTTATACTTAACTGATTACCTCCCAAGAACTACCGTCTCAAAAACTCCAAAACAAACCTGACCCATAAAGTATCTTCCGGTGAATGCCTCTTCATTCATTTGTCTAGGTTGCTGCCTTTTGTAGTAAATTTACCAATTAAATGCCGTAACTGTACATGTGATGAGAAATTACCAAACAGTAACTGCGTAATCGAAAGTCATATGACAAATACGAAACATTAACCGCATGATGGAAAATAAAATACTTCCAGTTAATGCCTTTTCATTGATTTGTCTCATCTGCCGTAACTGTACGTGTGATTTCTGGCAACGGTTATGCTCATTATTAATTTGGTTATGGTAACCAAAATAGTAAAATTTTTATGTTAATTTAATTGTTAAAAATAATTAATAATTAATATTTATTATTTTTTTGTCAAATTCAGTTGTTATATTTTAAATTTTATACCAAATATAACTAAATAATTTTATATAATAAATAGATAATATTTTATATAATAAATAACAATTGAATTTTTTTGTATGTCATACTTGTTGAGTATTTTCACTTAAAAAGAATTTAATTATAATTTATTTATTAAATAAAATTATCAAGCCAAACTCTATATAAAAATCAAACTTAGACAACTAAATCTAAGTAAAAGTGATATTTAATAGTTTGAAATCAATGTGTAAATAAAAATTTTTAAATATTATAATTAAATGTTTAAAAAAAATTTGTAGACTATAAAATATTATTAGTGGCCATAGCCTTATTAATGATTTCTATATATACATAGTTTGTTATAGTTATAGTTTTTTTTTTTTTTTTAACAATTTTACAAGAGGTCGAATTCGAACCGTTATCCAAGAGAGGAGAGATGCATTTAAACGTGATTTGATGCCATTGGCCGAAGGCCCAAGTACGTTTTTATAGTTTTAATTGAACTCTTTCATTTCATTGAAAAGAATTTATGGAGTGTTTCTTTGTTTTGCATCTTTTGGGTAAGTGTAATTATTATACATTGTCTATGGTCATTGGTATTAAGAAAATAAATATTCTTTATTTAATTAATAGCCTAGTTAAATTGAGGGTTTCTATTCTTTATTTGTTTTGTACCTTTATTGGATTTTTTTTAATATTAGTATTAATAGTAAAATTAATATTAATTTTTTATTTTTTTAATATTAATTAATATTAATGTGAAAGCGACCCAAAAAAAAGGGGTAAAAAATGGAGAATTCCCCTTAGCCCACCTATGTCCTCCAGACACTGTCTACTTCTTCCTCCACAGCACCATAATCCAGCCCATTTCCTTTGGCCCACCGTGTCCACCACACAGAGCATCTTATTGTTGGCTCTAGCAGTTTTCCGTATTAGGAATTGCAGACGGACTTGTTGAAGATGGGATGCAAGATTTCTTCTATCACCATGTACCAGCGTCCACGCATCATTTCGAAATGGCATTCAAGGTAGCGGTGGATGCAGGGGGGAATTTGATTGCAGTGGTGTTTATAATAGTTTCCCTTAGCCCACCTGTGTCCACCACAACACTGCCCACTTCTCCCTCCACAACACCACTAACCAGCCCATTCCCTTCGGCCCACCGTGTCCACCACACCAACTAGCTCCACAAATCACAACCCCCGGTCCAATCCACACCCATGGAACCTAATCTTCCTTCGTTTCATTTACGGTCACAAGCACTTCAGATTTGGATCTCATATGGCTTTTGTAAAGTCTACTGCCCAGTCAATGCAAGAAGAAGAATCACAATATGTCCTACTCAGCATAGTTCTCTGCAAATTGAAGAAGTATTGAACCTCATGAAACAATACTAAATTGCGGGGGTTCATGATCGTATTGCTGTTGGTTTCTCTGGCATCAGAAAGGAAATTTGTAAATGGTGGTCTTATTACTTCTGTTTCTCCTGCTCTGCTCTATTAGTCTCAGGTGGGTTAGAGTTATCACCACTCATAATAATGTTATA